AGGTGTGTGTCTCCGTGTGTGTGTGTGCGTGTGTGTGTATCAGGGAGGTTGTCAAAAAGTAAATTGTGTTTGTGGTGCCTGAAAGAGAAAGGTGGCTGTGAGGTGGGTGTGGCTCCGCAGAAGGTTAACCTCACTTTAATGAGCACTTCACATTTCAGTAGAGTAATTCAAAGCCGCCATAACCTCCATTCTGGCCCCCATCATCTGCACCGAAGCAGCCAAACACATGAGACTTCATAGGATTTATCGAAAATAGGATTAAAATCCAGCCTCTACAAATACCTATTAAACTACTGTAACGTGTCTTTAGATGTCATTTCACCTGCGACGGTGGCGCATGGAGAAGAGAGGCTGGAACCGTGAGGTTGGTAGTTTGAACCCTGGTTGTCCCATGTTGAAGTGTCTCTGAGCACGACATCCAACCTCTAACGTAAAACCATGGGTTAAAAACGCATTGTAAGTTGCTTTGGGTAAAAGTTAATGAGTCAGCTAAATGTAATGTAAGATATGGGTTAATAGCAGAAAACGTGTAAAAGCTCCAAGTATTTGAAATAACCCAAACAATGAGAGTATTATTAAGTTATGTATTGAGATTGCCTCGTAAATATTATATAAAGATTATCCGATGATCCGCTTTCCTTAGATGGATATTTTCTGTGCATGTAAAACTCTCTTTTCATTCTTCCCCTCTTTATTAACATCAGGTGTTTAACGTCCCCGGTGCTCGTCAGAGCTCTTTTATGAGAAGGAGAGAATCGTACAAGCCATAATGATACGGCTTCCTTATTCTGTCAACCTCAACCCTGCAGCTCGCTTAATGCGCCCCGCTCAACTCGCCACGTACCTCACAACCCCTCTCATTGAACCAAAAACGCAGTGGATGGAGCAGGTAGCCAATAAGTAACAATCAGGAGCGGTGAGGAATATTCCTTTTTTTTTGTGCAATTATTCTGCTGTGAAGATTCATAGAAACATTTCAATTCCCAAGAGCTTTTGGCTGCAAGATTAAAAGCTTATCAAGCTGTTTTAGCAATTCTGCCAAAAGCTCACTAATGTATACTTAAACTCACAGAGCGGCATGAGGAATAGTGCTACAGATTTGAAATTGATTCAGTGCCAGAATTAACCAATGTTTTTTCTTCATTGAGCAAGTTCAGTGACAGAGAAGAGAAGAGATTTAAGCCTAAATTAAGCATCTTCTAAAATGAGAGGACGTACTTCCTTACAAAAAGACAAAACTCCTCTATTACGTGGTAAGAAAACAAAAGGTGACCTGAATATTTGTCCTTCTTTATTTCAATGATTCTTCTTTTTTTATTTTTAGCAGCTGGGATTACAATTGCTTGATTTTTTCCTTCTGAAGGAAACTCCTTTGGGTTTATTTCCACAGTGTGCAGTACTTAACCATTCAATCTTTCAACATTAATTTGGGATCCCCCCCCCCCCCCCCCCCCCCCAACTTCCCGGAGGCAAACCCTGGAACCCCCTTTTTCTGGGTATCGAGAATCAATTAAAGCAGCACCATCTATAAAGACTCACTGGGCAATTAAGCACATTGAGAGTGAAAGCTCTAATCAATCCCTGGCCTTCTCCATCACACAAACACACACACACACACACACACACACACTCACACACACTCCTAAATCCCTTGGTGTAGATGTCTCTGCTATTTACACAAGAGCAGAGCAGTCCAGACAGCACTTTTGCAACATGCTGTCTCTTGAAGGATGCACACAAAAACACAGACACAAGCGCTCCCTTTCATTTATATTTTTTCCTGCATTTCACCAACATCAAATAGTTTGGGAGTTTCAGTAGTCCATCATGCGCTTACTTGTTACGTAAGACTCATGGTTTGCTCCATTACCACCGGCCGACAGATGCACATGCATGTCATTACCAAACTGGAGCTGGCTACAGTTTTAGGCATCTTACCCCCACACTAAAGTGTTTTAAAATGCGTGTCAAAAAGAGAACATTTTGAAGCACCCAAAGGCTGTGCCTTGCTTTGCAAATCTTCTCAAGGAGAAATCCATCTAAAAATGTCTCAGAGACCCCGCGTCCCCATAAGGCTGTATATGGCGTGGGCTAAATGTGAACTGTGAAGGTTACTGCTGTGAAATTCAGTCATCCCTCCGCAGCTTGTCTCATTGATTCATGGGGACCTAAATGTCAGCACCAGCAGGGCCGAGGACCCTGGTAACCCCCCCTGAGAGTGAAGGGTGATGAGGCTAACGGCAGCGCGACCCACATCCCCGTCCCAAAATAGCTGGCTTGACTCCGACACTTTCAAAAGACAAGGAGTCATTGATCAGGGGGCTAAAAGAATATGATGAGCTCAGATAAAGGTACTGTGACGCTTTTCTGATGTATTCTGTGCTTTCATGGATTTGCTTGAAAATGAAGGATTGGGATTTATTTGACCAGGCAGTAGACGTGCTTATGATCAGCATTTATTCAAATCCCTCCCGATCCACACTGTCTCATTTCTGGATTCTGACTGATGCCTCGATATTTACTTCATATTCTGTTTATATATTACATACAGTGTGACTTAATGGGGGGCTACATAAATTTCATGTCATCCGCGAGCCGTGCTTAGAATTATTGACCCGCCAGCTATTGATTTGGTGTCTTTGTTCATGCATTCATGGGTAAGTTTAGTGCTTTGATCATTTGGTGCGTTATGCTAAGTCTACATCAAACACAGAAGACAAATCGATGGCTCTTCACTCGTTACACGAATGATAATGAAATCAGCACGATTGCACGGATGCGGTTGATTGATTGTAATCCACATCCGAGGGTTGTTGGGGAGGCGCTCGGCCTGGTTGTGATATTTCATGATCACGTCCGCTGGCTTGTGTAAAGAGGTAAAATGATGTGGGAACTCAAACTTACCTTTGGCCGGTGAGCCTGAATGTGTGTGTGTGTGTGTGTGTGTGTGTTAGGACCGAGGCTCTCGATCAGAACTCCACCCTAAACTAGATATTTGTTGTGAACAAGATGCTCAAGCTGTCCAAGAGAACATGGATCTTCTGCCTCACCTCCACTAAGGCGACCAATCAGGGGCCATGAACTTCAGACGATCAACATGGCAAAATGTCAACATGTAATCAAAGTTCTGATAATTAAGTGTGAGGGTAACATGTGTGTCGGTACCAAACTAAATTATTGCGGGACTTGTTGGACCACAGGTGTCTGTTCAATATGTCATCACAATTAGTTGGGATATTTCGGTCCGGTCCAAGGTGGTGGACCCATCCATAACCTCAGTGGAGCTTTCAGTGACCTCATCCTGGTCGTAGCCGCCTGACCATGGTTAGCTTTAACACTGGACACAGATGAGTACAGATAACTAAAGTTTTATTTTAAAGTCATACCTGGGAGACAAGGCAAGGCAACTATATACATGGGGTTTTGTAACACCACACACACACCTACACACCCACTTTACTCTTAACTACCTCCATGGTTCATACAGAGCAACCGTCCCACTCAGTATATTAGAATAATGACACGGCGAGCCCACTTCTAGTGAGGGGGATGAGGACACCCGGCCAGCTCAACAACAGCCGCGGCAGAGTGGATAACACACAAGTGTGAATAATACCTTCACAACTAAGCATGAATCTCCTCATACGGACACAATTTTGCAAAGATCTCGGTGCAGGCTTTGAAAATTGATGCATAAAGATGAAGAGATAATCTGAAAATGTGCAGTCACTTTGTTAAACTGAGGTTAAATCGGGCTGGGACTGTGCTTGCATTGTTGTTTTTTCCCTTTGTGGCAGATGATTAATGCGCATGTGGTGCAAAATGTCGGTGAGTTGACTTGTAAGCTAATTAAAATCAAAGACCTCTCAATAAGTAAAATGTATACATTTTTCTGCATCTTTTACGGTCCTGATGAATTGCAATTAAATTCTACTGAGTGATTTACGGCTGATTTTAGTAAAAACAACAACAACAACAACAGTAAAATCCAATTAGTAAGTCAATGGAATGTGTTGGAATCAACTTAATATGGTTACGAGCTACACATTGTCTATTGTACATAGGTTAGCAATATGTATTTGTTAAATATGAATTAACCCCAATTGTAGTTTTTTTTACAGTGTTGTTGAAAACCGTGTGAAAATGTAATTAGACACCAGATCGGTTCAACAGATCAGAGCAAAACGGATCTGAAGTGTGTGACTGAGCAGATTTATAGGTAAGGACTTATCTATTTTACAGCAGCTATTCAGAAAGTGGGGGAGCCACAGCTGGCACCCCAGGGTGTCCCCCTGTATGTCTCCACATGGAAGAGCTTAATCTGATTACCAAAGTATTTTACCATGAGCTCACGAAAACAAATGTGTAAACACGTTTTTCCACAGCTAGACTTGAGGCTAGGACCTTCTAAAGTCTAAGTAAACCCCCAAAACTGCAAGTGCTCCTGAAAGCAAAAGGAATTGTCTTGTGTTAAGCTGCTATTCAGTTAGTGAGGAGATTGGGGGGTTGGGGCCTGACATTTACATGATAATTAGGGAACAACCACTTTCCCCCATTAAACTCCTTTTTTTTTTTTTTTTTACCTTGAAATGACTAATTTTGCTCTAAGAAAGTTTGAAAAGAACACATACAACTATACCATTAATGTAAGGTACCAAAAAGACTGTTGCTCAGGCACAATAAAATAGAATGTTATAACCTCAGCCTGCTGGTGACCACTCGTGTCTCCTTGACATCCCCACCGACGCACACGCAGCCTCACCAGCGAAAATGAAAACGCACAATTTATTGTCACGATTACTGTAAAACTGCCGGTTGCAATTACCACCGAACACAACGGGAGTCCATAAAGATAACATGGCCGAGGGGCCACGGGGGGCCCGAGGGGCCGGTGTGGGGGTGGTGGTCTCACCGGCGGTTCGAAGTTGCCGCTGAACGGAGGGGGGGGAGACGACGACGTGATAGGCTGAGAGGACGAGGCTGGGGAAGAAAGGAGCCGAGCGCAGTCAGTAGAGCGGTGCCGCTGGAGAGCCCGAACGTCGAGCGCAGCCTCCGGCTTTTTCAACGACGACGACGACCAAAAACAACAACAAAAAACCCGGGACGCGTCACGTTTTTTTTATTTTTATTTATTTATATTTGTATTTATTCAGTTCTCGTCGCGTCGTCGCCTCGAACAGGATGTAACTTGCGGGCGCGAGCTGAAGTACATTCATGCATTTGGAAGGAGCCGGGAGCGAGTGCGCGCAGACGAGACGCCGAGCTGTTTTGGCGAATGGAACTTATTGCCGTGCGTTTGTTTTGACTATGGACTATTTATCCCCAAGCGGCTCCGGGTCCAGTCCCTCTCTGTCCGTCGTCGACCCTTGATTTTTTTTTTTTGGGGGGGGTGGGGGATTTACATCCGAATAGTTTTTAAAGGGAAAACGCCGAAGGAGGATTCTGCAAGAGCCAGCGAGCTTCTCCCCCCCCCCTACAGAGCCGGGGATTTAAATCGTCATTTGGTGGTGCTCCGAGACCGAGGCGAGAGTCAAAAGAAAAGAAATCCATGTGGCCATTCTCTCTATAGCCAAACATTTTTTTGGGGGGGGATTGCATAATGAGCAAGGGAAGACCTAAGAGGAATATCATTCAAAAGAAATACGTAAGTAAAGCAATCGCTATATTCAAGTTCTGCCTCGCTCGTTTCGATGAAAATGCTCGAACTTTGGAGTCGCGCACTGTGAAGGTTACCAGCGAGGCTGCTGCGTAAAGGTGACGACTGTGAGCGTGCGAACAATTACATGCTTTAAAAACATGCATTTAAAGGGACCGCGATGTTTATTCAGGGTCCGCGCTGCAGCGTTTCTTCCACATCAGGCGTGTTTGAGGCTATTTGCTTTGAGGGGGGGGGGCGGCTTCGCTCGTCTTGACTCGTTTTAACGCGTGATGTTGCTGTGTGTGTGTGTGTGTGTGTGTGTGTGTGTTTGTGCTCGGTCTCCGGCTATGAGATAAAGCCGTTTAAAAAAGGATGTGCATTTCGAAAGACTTGGGCAGGGGAGGGGGGCAACTGTTTCCAGAAAGGGGCTTTTGTTCGCGGCCCCTCTCCGTCCTCCCCGGAGCCGTGAACGCGAGCCCGTCGGCCAGGGCTCGGCTCGGCTCGGCTCTGCATGGCTCGGCTTCCATTTCGTCCCGATGCCGCATTTCACCCCACGAACCGAGTTCTTTATACCGTGACGCGATCTGAGCACCCGTCACCTCGCCGAAGCCTACGTGCAGAGTTGTGTTCAATGTAGGCGGTCTGTCCCTGTGTGTGCGTGTGTGTTGAATGGCAAAGCGACGTGTTTCGCCGACTGTTGTGGCTCTTTAATTTTCTCCATAAAGAGTGGAGGGAAAGGGGGGGTCAGCGTGTTCGTTCAATTCCCGACTCGCGGCACGAGGACTCTGTTGTTACGCCATTAGTCTCACCGGGAGTCCGCCGGTGTGTGTGTGTGTGTGTGTGTGTGTGTGTGTGTGTGTGTGTGTGTGTGTGTGTGTGTGTGTGTGTGTGTGTGTGTGTGTGTGTGTGTGTGTGTGTGTGTGTGTGTGTGACCTCTGCTTAACAGAACCAGTATTGCAGCAGCCCGTTTAGGAATAACTCGTGTTTGCCATGCGGCGGTTCTGGTCCTCGGTTACCGAATTCGACGTTTAAGCCGCACGTCACGCGCCGCAGTTAAGCGCAATGTTTCCGCATGATCCGATCTCCTTCTTTTAAAGCGGCTGTGTTCTCCAGTCGCATTGCAGGGGCTCGTGTGTGTGCGCGTGTGTGTGTACCAAGCGATACCGAGAAAGCGACCATTTTATTTCTGCAAGTGTCACGGGCAGGGTTTCCCGGGGACACGCGGGTCCGCGTGAACCCAACACGTGTAAGGTTGTAAAGTGTCCCGATCCCTCCGCGCGGGTCGCTTCTCACGGACGCCACGACGCTCTGCGGGTTCTCTTCTCTCTCCCCCCGCGTTTCTTGTCTTTCCAAAGTTTGTTGCACTTATTTGGCGTATTTACGGATTGCTGCCGTTAATTATCGTCACAAGACACCGTAGTTTTCGTTTATTGGCACGTGGAATTCCTGCTTATGGCCCCCGAGCTCTCCGTCCCCGTCCAAACAGCACGTGGAGTGTCTTCTCCCCCCTGCAGACAGTTAGTGGCTGATTTACATCTTTCTAACAACGTCTACAGTGTGCTGGAGGAAGCTGAGCAACAGGTTCGTAGAAGCGAGGGGACAATACGACTAAATACAAAGAGGGTTCTTCCCCGTCAATTCGTGCTTTGATCTTTATATAATTGTTTCCCTCAAGAAGCACAGCGAATCAATTTGTATTAAGAACATTTGTGTGTGTGAACCACAGGATAGGAACCTCTCGTCAAGCCTTTTGGATTTGTTCCTATGACCGGTCCACTGTATGGCAACTTATTAAAGAGGAGAAAAGGGCAAATATCTGTCTTAAAAACAAAATGTATAAGCAACATACATTTTCTGTTCCGTCATAGCCACTAAAACACTGTGCAGAAATGTACGGGCATCGGCGTTTGAAAGCAACAACAGATGGGACTCGTCCCCCAGAAGACAGACAGATGTTTTAAACACTAACCGGGTACATTGCAGGGCTTGTGTGTAACGCTTGTGAGTGATGTATTCTGCAGCCGTCATTAACGTCCCATAGTGTCCCCTTTGTCTTTGTCAGAGCGGATTTAAAAGGGGACTTTTCCCCCGATGGAAGTTATTTTCGTTTTGAATCAAGTTGAGTTTAGCAAATAAACACAACGTTACTGATGTTGTCTACTTCTTTGTGAGTCTCCTGCTCACACGGGAGAACTTTTCTCCTCCTTTCCATAATCAGGGTTATGGAAATGATTTGTCTGTGTGCGTATGTGTCACATCGGTCACGTGTCTTCGGCAGCTGCAGCTGATGCATAATGTCTGGCCCCAACAAAATACGCTTCACATATGCGCCTTTCCACATCAACCTGGAGGAGTCCAGATCCCCGAGCCCCCCCCTCCGGGCTTTGTGAGAGGACTCCTGGCCATGACTGATCCCCCCCCTCTCCCCTAATTAGCGTAAGACAATTATACATGCTTGGCTCAACCATTTCCCCCTAAACGTGAGTGAGTTGTTATTCCCCTCCGCTTCGCCCCCCCCCAAAAAACACTGACCACCTTTGAGAAATATTAAAATGTATCATAAAATCAAACTAAACTAAAAAGAAGAGACAGAATGCCCCGTCAGGTGTCTTTTTTCTCTCTCCCAGAGATGCTTTGTCAGGCAGCGTGACTCTGCAGGAGCAAGCAAGCCCTCTTTCTCACTGCTCTCCGCCTTTTTTTTTTTTTTTTTTTTAAAGGTTTATTTTGATATTTTGTAGTAGCGTAGGTTCTGTGTGATGTGTAGGGTAGCAGGAGCTAGCGTGCGGCAGTGTTGTTCTGTCTAACGAAACATGACACATTCTGTGTGTGTCTGTGAATGTGTGCGATGGCTTGAGTGCACGCGGCAGGCAGAGTGTAGCCCTGTGCAGCCAGGGCCATTTTGTGCAGAGTCGGCTCTTCCTGTAGGCCCCAGCTGGGGCTAGGCCTCTGATTCAAAGGTTGTGTGTGCATGAGTGCGTGTTTGTGTGCACGTATTGTGTGTGTGTGTGTGTGTGTGTGTGTGGGACAAGCACAGCTGCTGCAGGGGCCTTTACAAATGTAAAGAGGCTGTCAGTGTTTGTTTCATCAGGCGCACAACTGATGAGGGCCAAGTTGGAACTCCATTGCACCGTGAGTGTGTGCGTTGTGCGTGCACAAAAAGAGGAAACAAAAATAGAGAGCTGGGCGGAGTGGTGAGTGCAAAGGCACACTCCCCCCCCCCCCCCCCCCCCTTTTCAATTTGTTTCATGCCGGGACACCCGCCCGAGCACTCCCAGGTTCAGGGGTGACCAAAGAATCAGAATGCCTTACTGGAGACCGAGAGGAGAGCCCCCATATGTCTTGATCTTTATTTTATACTGTTTAAATACAGAAGCAAAGACAACGTGATCGTCACCATGGCTATCAGGGCAAAACCAAAGTGTACTGCCCGCTTATTTGACTGCGTACACCACGGTGACATGACACCGCGGTAAAAGATAAAAGTGCATCACTTTGATGAGTCAGTTCAGCCATGTATACCATCGCAGACCGTCGAGTGATGAGTGTATCAGGTTTGGAACCAGCGTCGATAGCCACAAACAGAAGGCAACCGAGGATAATACGTTTTAATTTGATGGGAACATCAACCTGCCTTATTCACCAATGGGGGGAAATTAAAGCAGCTATTTTGGTATAAAAGTATTTGCCAAGAATATAAAAAGTCCTCCTTGAAGAATGGCAACAATTCACGCAGGATGGGAAAAAAACTCCCTGCAACAAACCAGACGAAGCACATTCTAAATACATAATTCCTAAAATGCGTTTAGCAGCCTTATTCCCCTTCGCCTCACAGTGGCCGGTGAGTATTTTTTGGCTCTCCCCTCAGCAGTTTGGCTTCAAAGCACACATGAAGCTGTGTCCACCCCCCCGCTCCCCCGCAGTCACAACCCCGCGGCCCGAGGCTCCCCTCGCAGGGCCGAGGGTGAGCACAGCCCAATTTAATTCAACCTCATTTATTCCTTTTATTAACTTTACTGAAATTAGAAGAAAAGCGCCGCCTCTCCTTTTATTTTAAACGTCCGTGTTGCCAATGCACTTTACTTCCTCATTACAGGCTTGGATTGGATTTGGGCCCCCGATGGTCTGCCAGGCGGTTAAATGCATCCCCACTCGGGCTCCTTTTCTCTCTGACACCAATACAGACGCTCTCTCTGTTTACCCTTTTACTGCCGTTGTCCTCCTCTTCTTCTCTCCAGCATTATGTCACAGACGGCGCTCACTCCTGTCATGTAATATGACCTTTTCTCTTATCAGCTGTTGGCACTGAGAGCGATCTCCGGCGCGCGCACACACACACACACACACACACACACACAGGTAAAGGTCTTGTGGGTGTACACTTACCAGTCAGTAGGTGAGATAAACCGGTTTTAGGGGCCGGCCTTTAAGCCGAGGTATCTTTTGGATATCTGCAGCATGGGCCCGTTTATGGGAGTAATCACACAACGCCGGGGCGTGACTCTTTGTTTCTACCGTGAGCAGCATAATGCTCCACTAGTTGGACACGAGGCACGGACGGACACAGTGTGTGTGTGTGTGTGTTACGTGCACCACGTGCACGCTCCTCCGTGCATGAGGCGATTTATATCCTCCTGCTCATGTGGGTTTGGATGGAGAGGGGGGAAGGGGGGGATTGAGACAGCTGGTCAGGCCCCGAGAGCCGTGTGTGTGTGTGTGTGTGTGTGTGTGTGTGTGTGTGTGTGTGTGTGTGTGAGAGAGATATATGTGCACACACACTTAGCTGTGTGTGTCTGTTGTGTTGTTGTTTTTTAAGAGACTAAACCCCCAAAACAGCCAAATCTTCAGTCTCCCTTTGCCTCTGGGTGAAACGACAGCTTAGCCTCGTGCTTCCCCATAAGCTGAAAAAGGAGGCATTAGAAGGGTTTTCATCCATATTCGATTCACCCACGATGGCAGCCGAGTCTGGCATTGGCTTTTAATGACCAATGTCTGCTCTTAGTCCGTTT